TTTTTTTTTTTTTTTCTGGACCAATTATTGCGCCTCATTGCCACACTGATCAATTATTTATTGCATTGCATTACCTGAAAAATTTTTGAGAAGCCATAATCAGAAGCTTTTATAACCTTCGAAAAAAAAAAGAACATGCATTGCTATTTATCACCAATGAATCGCTGTTTGATGTGTTGTGTAGTTCCAGTTAAAAATTCTTTAGCTGTACCTGAATTACTACGGTTGTTGACTTCAGAAGAATTCTCTTTCTTGCTGTTTCTTCATTTAACAGTTTTCAGTTCTTCAATGATACACTGAAGAATTCTTTTTTTGTTCGGTATTTTATAATTTGTAATTATTTTTTTTTTAAAATTATTATTACAGGAATAATAAAGATTTGAAAATTTTTGGTTTGATTTCATGGACAAATAGCTGTATGTACAAAGATATGTGAAAAATTTGAACCGCTATCAAACCGGATACGGTAGCATAGAAAGAAAATTGGAAATTGTGAATTAACCAGTTGAAGTAAACAAAATTCAAAGTTTACTGAAATGAATAATAGATATTGAAAATTTTTTGCTATAAATTATCAGTACACTTAATATGCAGATCGAGAAGTAAAAGTTTAGTTTAACTCTTATTTTATCAATAATTTTAAATGGCAAATGTCAGTTTTTTTTTCTTTTTGAAATATTAAAGTAGATTTTAATATTTTTAGCTGTTATTTACAATAATAATATTGCAACAATATTGCTTATTAATTTTCTTTAAGTTATTCCTAAACAACTGTTAAAGCTACCGTATTATTCACTACTAAATCGTTTTATATCAAAAAAAAAAAAAGAAACGGAAAATTGAATAAAATTTTTTATACGTACAAACAGAATTTTTTTCTGGTTTTATAATTTAAAAGAGCTTCCAGAAACAAGAATAATAGCAGGACAGCATGGTATATTAAAGAAAAAAAAGTAAAAAAGAAAGAAATAATTTGAAATTCTGAAACCGATAAGTTGTTCCATTAAGTAGGGAGCTGTTAATGGTTAAAAAATGAAACTTTTTTTCTATTGAATTTATTCTCAATTATTACCAGACAGAAAATAAGTTAGTTTTGAAGAGACAAAGGTAAAACTTAAATCTATTTCTAGAAAAATTAAAAATTTTTAAAAATCTATATATATGCAGGTTATTTCATGTCCAAATCACACACTTTTTTTTCTTTATATTTTAGACTTTTTTGGTTTCGATGATTAATAGAGTCCACGTCAGTATTCAGAAAGCCGAAAAAAAAAACCTGGAAAAATGAATTCCCTGCCAAGCTACACCCTCCCAAAGTTACAGAATTTGTCAGGTTGCCGCTTGACATACTTACCTCTGCGAATTTGTAATTTAGCCTGTCTTTATCAGAATTTCAAAGTTTCCTATTTGTTAGATTTTTCATTTCCTAAATTTTTTTAAATTTTTACGGTAATTCCATGTATTTTACATGACGAAACGACCCTGAGCTGCTTTTGGAAGCCGCAGAGACGTGCAATAAAAATCCGGTATACTTTGAAAGTTGGAAATTTGTTTCAAAAGTTGTGTTTTACTTTGTGTTTTACTTAAAATATAAACAAATTATTGTCTTACAGAGCTCTAAGAAGTAGTTTCCATTCTAGTTTTTTTTTTCTGCTTTCTGTATTTCGTACTTTTTAGTCTCTTAGAATTATGTCCATAGTGTAATTGTTAAAGTTTTGGTTGCATAATCTCTACCTGTTACTTTGTCATTGAAATAATGTTCTGTGGTTCTTCAGAAACACAGAAGGTCTCAGATGAGCTTTAACGCAGGAGCTAACCGGGTGAAGAAGCAGGTTTTTAGACTTCTTTTTGACTTCAAAATATATGCTAAGGTGTGAATTTAACAGAATAAAGTACGAGAAGCAGAAGCGCTGCAATGAAGGCCAGTTCTTAAACACAGAATAATAGTCTATTAGTATTTCGAAGCAGAATACAACTTTTATAACAAATTGTCAATGTTTAAAGTATACCGGATTTTTATTGCATGTCTCTGCGGCTTCCAAAATCGGCTCAAGACCGTTTCGTCATGTAAAATACATGGGATTACTGTAAAAATAGTGAATTTTTTTCAGCTTCACATTCTTTACTGACCCATAAATCTGATGTGTTGCAGGGCAAAAAATTTTACACAAAGTTTGTCCTTTCAAAAAAAATTTAAAGACACATTTTTTTTCTTCTATGTTCAATTTGGAATATTACTTTTACTACATCTATTTGATTTTTTAAGAGAATTAAAACATTTAATACACCTTTAAAAATTCAGAAAATAAAAAATCTAACAGATAAATTATTTTAAATGTAATAAAAACGGGCTAAATTACAAATTCGCAGGGGTAAGTATGTCAAGCAACAACCTGACAAATTCTGTAACTTTGAGAGGGTGTAACTTGGCAAGGAATTCACTTTTCCAGATTTTTTTCCGGCTTTCTGAATACT